AGTACTGAGTACTGTACTGAGCTAAGCATGTATCAGTAAATTAACGTTCATTTTTACGTAATTCACGGTAAGGCTTTTTCCAACGGTAGTAAAGGCCTGATAGCATGAATTATTGTTAAATGCATCCATTTTTATAGGCCCGAGTCGGCTGAGATCATGCAAATTGCGGACAAATACGCTAATTTTCTTTCAAATTGCTTGAAAATTTCAATTCCTTGTGAAAGCTTTCAAACTGAAGTTCGCCTTTCAACAAAATTATCTTCTTGCACTCGTAATATATTTATTGTTAAATAATTGCATACTATATACAGAATGAGCAATGTTACAAGTAATCAGCCTTACATTGTCGAATTTTCGGTTTGATATTGAGTTTTATCGTAGCAGTAATCACCCGTCGAAGTTCCGGATTGCAAAGCTAAAGAGAAAGTTCAGTTGCAAGAGATATGTCAATTATATGTAAATAAAATTCATAGCTATAATTACCATATAAATTGGTAGGCGCATAGCGCAAGCAGCAACAACCAGTAAGGAAACCAGATCCGTAGAAAACATGTAGAAGGCAAAAAATCTGAATAAACTGGCGTTCTGCGCTGTATTGCGGTACGGTAACAAAAATTCTCTGACTTACTCAGTTTGCAGCGATTGCATATCAACAAATTCCCAAGCGGTTACAATAACGTTGGGTAAATTGGAGAGAAGATACAGTAGACAAACGAGAAGTAACGTCCAAGTTGCTGATCGGACTTTGCTCTGGAAAAGTTTACAGCTTGAGAAGAAGGATTTTAAAGGATTTAGGGCTCCAGAAAAGTAGAAAAGTGCTGTGATTGTTCACTACAATGATGATAACGGTGCTCCAATTGGTACATTGTAGCCAGCATGCATGTTTTCAAAAATTTTCATTCTTTTAACTTTGAATATCCTATTTAACGTATTGCTTAATCAATTACAGTATGGAAAAATATGTTTACATTAAAAAGGCAGAAAATTCGATAAGCTATGGTAACCGCATAGATATTACTCAAGGACCGTCGCAGAAATTTTTTTCGAATTAATTTAAGAATGTGAGAGAAAGCGAGAGGCCTTGACGGGGCTAAATTCTATCAAGTTAATGAGTTTCCCATAAAAAGTTCCAGAATAATATCTTGTGCCTCGAAATCAGTGAACCACCACACAAATTTTTTGAATCGATGAATTAACCATCCAATTTTGCCATTTTACTGGGTTTCTAAAAAAATTTCTCAACCCATGCGCTTCTGCTCCTTCCTCTTTGGGTCTTCCACTCTCCTGACACATAAACAATACCTAGGCATTTCTTACAATCGACAGCTTTAATATAAATATCGATCAATTAGACCTTAATGATTGACTAGGAGCTAATCCATGTCAAGTGAAAACTGTGCATTTTTTTACCCTAAAAGAGCAATTTATCAACTTAATTTCGCTCCTTTCTAAGCTATTCCATACCTACCGATTTATAACGTAAAACATCTAAGGTCTAAACAAAGACACTTCATCAAAAGTGCGTTCATACTCATCACTCTGATGGCAAGAAACCCCTGCGAGATA